CATGTAAACTTAGCTTTGCAGTTAACTGCAAAACTTTTTTAAAGTGCCATCCGTGGATGCCCATGGTCGCCCATGGACGTAACTGGTTTTTAAGGTGCCACCCATGGACGCTCATAGACGCAACTGTTCGTCCATGGGCGGCCACGGACGCAACTGTTCCGCCCATGGGCGCCCATGGACGGGAAATTCGTGTCCACGACAGTCCCTGGTATAAAGTGTATTATTGCTGATAATGTCATTAAAGGTATATATCATCTAATTCAAACGTTTAAATCATTGTGGATTTAGCTCGAATTACTTAATCTTTTTTTTGAACTTTAATCAAAAAATAGAATAAGCTCAAAATTAACATCCGTTATTTTAAACATTATCATCGTCAGCACTACTACAGTTTATATGAATTAATCTAGTCGATATTATTCGATCCGGGAGATATTGAATAACATTTTTTCATTTTCCCTCTCAGTCGATACTAATCAGATTAGCTCAATATCAGAGATCGTTGCCTTAAGCTCAACAATTTGAAAACGTCATCTGTGCGCTACTTGCTTAGTTTTTGAAGAAACGGCGCATACTACAAATAATTAAACCTGAAATAACTAACATAGCTGAACAGAAAAACACAATTATGTCTACTCAGACAAGTATGATATCGAATAAACCAACAGGAAAAACTCTTTTAACTCATATCGTACCGTTGGCTGAAATGGACAGTGATTTATTTAAACCATTACCGCATTGTCAAGATTGCAAAACATGTTTAAAATTAAGTTGGACAGTTGGGATGAATATTAGTATCCCTATTATCAACATGACTGTTGGTGGAAAAACGAGATATTTTTATGTTCTTGGAAATGTTGGCATCTTAGCATCAGGTGAGAATAATGATAATAAGGAAAGTGACTTCATAGCACAATTTTCACTTTCAGGTAGTGGAAAAGCCCAAATAATATTACAAGGTCATGTGAATAGAATCGTCAGTGCCTCGGTTAGTAACGATAAACAATGGTTGATTACTGCCGAATCTGGCGTCCAAGCATTTTGTATTGTATGGAATGCTTACACTGGTCAACCAGTAAAATATTTAACAGATATTCATGAACATGGCATTTGTCAAGTGTACATGAGCAAAGATGCTAAATTAGTGGCCATTTTAACAGAAGTGCCACAACAAAAAATTGTTCTGTGGCGATGGTCAAACGATGAATCGATGCCAACGTCTCTACCCGTCATTCCTCTTCAATGTGAACAACAAACATTTTTTACAATGTTGGAAAATCATTCCCTATTTTGTAGTTGTGGACATGATAGTGCCATATTTTATATACCAAGTAAAGATTCTGAAACAGTGAGGCTGGAAGTGCACAATGATATTCAAAAAAAATTAAGACAAAGAACGGTACAAATCATATTTTGCTATATGCTACCAGATTCAAAACAAGCCGTAATCATTACGAAAACGGGTTGGTAGATCTAAGATATGTTGAACAATGAGGAAAGCACTCACAAGATAACTATTGTTTTAGGCAAAGCAATATTTTTCGATGTTGAATATGCCGCAGTAGGCCTACGCAGCAGTCCCGATCAAACTCGTTATCAACAGTTCATCGTGACTTCAGCCACCACGTTCAATAAACCAAGTCATTCTACAACGAATATTCACGACAGTGTCTCAACTACCTCTTCCGCTGGTATAGTGAGAGAAAATCAAGTGTATGTGGTGGAAACTGTAATGAAACGTTTACACGATCTTCAGCGTCAAATAACTGCCATTGAATATTTTTCATCACATATTATTATTGGCACGGAAACATCTCAGATAGTCGTTTATGACTCAAATTTGCATTTTATTAAACAATATTCTCTGTTTGGTATCGGACCGTTGTATTCGATAGCAGTTAATAAATTTAGTGATGGTGATCGAAAAGAAACCATAGACACATTAACAAGCACTGAGAAAATATTTGAATTAAATGAAGTTATTTGTGGATCGAATAGTGCAGTCATCATTACACAAAAAAACTTTCAGTTAAGTAAGAATTATTAAATGAAAACCTAATACAATCAAGGAAATTATTCTTTAATTTCTAGTCAAAATTGTTCAGATAATGCCATTAGGACAAATAACTGATATTTGTTTGAGAGCAGTATCGTCTGTTTTACTTGTTGGTACAAGTATTGGACATTTGTATGTCTGGCACGGAGAGAGTGAGCCATTGTGACTGTTGCTCATTAGAATATCTGTAATATCGATCTTGGGTAGGTCGTGTGCTATTTATCGACAAACAAATATCATCGGCATCTACAATTGGTATATCAAAATTATGTTTAAGTGGTGATGGCTCTCATTTGGCTGTTGGTCTTGATAATGGTCTCATTTGGGTGTATGATGCAGCCACATATAATCCGTTGAACAATCATCCGTTACACAATTCAAGATCTCCTGTCACACTCATTGAATATTCTCCTAACGGTATATTTCTTGCTGCAATTGTTGATAGTACTGCTGTGTCACTCTACATTCGCGATGCAAAAAAATCGAATATTTATCATAATTATGGGCGATGTGTTGCTCATTTCAATGGTGTTAGCGCTATTTTGTTTACAGAAGACAAACAGACAAAAAGACAATGTTTGTTCTCGTGCGGCGGTGATGGAGATCTCGTCGAATATACTGTTGATGGTGAACGATTGTTTCCATTTGGTGTTCAATCGAGATCAAATTTGTGTGATTATCCATATTATGCACACTCTGTTGTCCAATATTCATCAGACCCAAAAAATCACTATCTCGTTTGTTCTATAAGTGATGCAAGAATTAAATTCATTGAATTGGCAACAAAACGATGTCGATGGACAATACAAGTATTTCCTCAATATCAAATCTATGAGCAGGTAGTTTGCTTTCATGTAGTATGATGTAAATGATGATTTTTACTCGCCTAGATCAAAGTGTGGCCAGTCGATTGCAATGATCAGTATGAATCGAATTATTTGGCATTTCGTAGTACAGATTATATTGGTGTAATGAAACTGCCTGGTACTGGTAGTCCTACTGAATGTGATTTGATATTAGCTCATGGAGGTGGTGTTCAAACAATTGATGTTGCAACTGGTCGTAACGTTATCGTGTCGTGTGGACGTAAAGATAGTTGTATTTTTATTTGGAAATTTGATCTCGACTGCATGAAAAAACGTTTACAACAAAATCAACAAAATCCAATGAAGAATTTTTATTCATTATTAGGTGATTTTTTTTAGAGCAGATACAGAGAATCTCTTACGTAATACTGTCGTTATTAGAAACTGTCGTCAAACATTCTTATCTCTGCGTCTTTAGATTGGTCATCCAACGATGCTCATAGTGAATATCGTGATTTAGAACTAATATTTTATTACATTCAACTACAAGATTCAACCAATTTAAAAATAAATGAGAAAATTCCATTAACACTAGTACCCGATTTTGCACGTGCCATTGGTGTTTATCTAAGTGAAAGAAAAATTCAAGAACTGTACGATGAACTATGTTACACTAAGCAAATATCAAATCCAAGAGATATTTATATTGATTTTTCGGAAGTAATTCGAATTTATTTTAATCATTTGACATCAATTCCGACGTCATCAATAAAAATTATTAAGACATTCTTTGAAGAAGTGACAAGTAATCAACAAAATAAAAATGCTACATTGAACATCCATGATTTATTGCAAATTTTAGTCACGGAAGGAGAACGAATGACAATTGGTAAGAACGATACTGCAATTTCTGCCATTATTCACATTAAAAGTTGAATTAATTCTACTATGATCTATTAGTTACTAGTTTAAAGATTTTTTGTATTTAGATGAACTTCGTGAGGCATTTTATGCTGTAGACATTTTCACTACTGATATCGAAAATTTTCATGATTTGTCAGAAAATTATACGTTGAATGAATTTTTAAAATTATTTTCTCGTAAGGATTCGAATGGAATGTTGCCTAATGATGAACATGAAGCAGAAGCGTTTAGTAATGGTAAAGAAGAAGATATTACCACGATTAATGAACATAAACTAATGAAATCTCATATGAACCATTATTCTGAAACCACTCAACCAAATAAATTTGTTGTATCTCAAACACTTGAGCATGATTATGTTGACATATTAAAACCACGAGAAAAACGGCGAGATACAAAATATAGTTCAATTTTTAGTGCTACAAGTAGTACAAATGGACCGACTTAGTTTTTTCACAATCACAAGTTTTTCAATCAGTCGTTTGTGGTTTTCAACACTTCATATTCAGTTTGCACTCAGATTTTAGTGGAAATAACACTGCAAATGGAAAAAGAAGATAAATTCATTTGCTGATGCTGATTGTTATGTTTTAAAATTGAATTTAAACAATTGATACAGTCTTAATATGAACGGAGAGAGGAAAAATCATTACAGTAATAGTCAGCGATAAGGAAAGGAGAAAAAAATAAGAGCCAATTGATTGTATTTTACGATTAAATTGAAATAATTGTCTGGACACTTATGGTCATTTATTACAGTGTACAATACTTACTGTTTTAATGACGATAACAGAATAAGTTTCAATTATTGACACAAAAAACTCCCATGTCAAGAAAAAAAGTAACGATAAACTTTTGAAAAGAGTTATTACAGTGATAATTTTCTGTATTTATTTTCACTATATTGCAGTCTTATTACTGAGCCCTTCAGTCAGAGAATGTGATACATTGTTTAAAGGTTCATAGCGAATTTATGACACGTTTACAATAAGTATTACGATACACTTAGGGGCGAAGAGGAAAAAGCACAGCTACTTCCTGATAACGGACGGACAAATTATCTCATACAAGCGCAAACATAATTTACTTCTCTTAAACTTGGTGATCAAAATCTTTATAGACTTTGTACTGAAGTCGTTACTACATTGACAATCCAGAACTTTGCTTTGAAAGCAGAATATAACAGTGGCTTGAATGAGAACAAAAAAATGTTAAAAATTTCTTATTTTTAGTTTTATGTCGAGTGAGACATAAAAATATTGTATGCTTTTATTGGACAGATCCAAACAAACTTTCATTTATCTAACTTAAATTGATTGATCAGCAGACTTTTTGGCATAAATCCTTGTGTAAATGTGTTTTAGTTCAGCTTGATGAGATGTGTAACTTTCTGTTGTTGTCATCGATATAAAAGTATATATGTGTATGTAAAACCAAAAAAACCTTGTAATAAAATTTTCATGGTAAATTTATTTTGTAATAAATCATCACTTGTCAATTTTTATGCATAATAACTATGTACATTTATCACTTGTTGACTATATCACATAGTGTGTCAATTGAATTATTCGATAATTTTTCTTCATTAAAAAAAAAGAAGAGTATTGGGATAATTTTATTTAATAACTATAAACATCAATGTAGAATTGTAAAAAAGAAAATGTTTTTCTAAGACTATTATTCATGGATAATTCTAATCGTATTAATGGGAAACTGAGAAAAGAAACAAGGATAATATGAAATATTTTTATTATTAAATTTATTTTCTCTGTTTATCAAACACATGTCATTCGTGTTATACACAACAAATTATCAGCAAAACATTATTAATGACTAATCCAAAGTGCGGTCTAATTCACGAAATTCATCAGAAACCATTCTTCATTTAATTACCTATACAACTTGATTAAGACATCTTAGCAAACTTTTGTGCATAGATTTCCTATGCACAAATGAAAATTGTCAAATTCAATTGTATATGGGGTCAAGGTATAAATCACCTCTCTATCCTTCAGGTAAAGAATTTTAAACAAAAATGTAGACTCTCTTACATTATTATAAATAATTTTCTTGTTGATATTCTATATCATTTTATTATTCAATAATACTTTTAACATAATCTTTGACATCCGTTCTATTAGACGAACGTTCCGGAAAGAGTTGAGCACACGTATAAAATGTCATTTTTATCTTTCTTTTTTTATCGTTCACTACTAAAGATATATGATTGAATTCATTTCCGTCATTTTTATAATTTTTTGCCGATGTAGTCGTTAATTTATTTGAAAAGAAAAAGTATGCATATATTTTCACAAGAAAAACGTAACAGAACTGTTTCTGGAGAAATATTGATCTTTCCTTTCAAATAAAATATAGTAATATATATTCAGATTTCATTTGTATTTCAAAAATCTATTCGTAGTCTAGATGAAAGCCAATATCGATAATCAAATACGAATAGTTCATTTTTCTAATTAGTAAATTATTATTTTGACACAATCATTCAGGCTCTTGTGTATCAAACTTTTAGTAGAATATCTATCCAACTAACAATGACAGAGGGAATGAAATGATACTTGTAAAAAAGAAAGCATAACTATTTTACATATAAATGAGTTTTTATTTGTTATATACTTCTCGTTTTTATTGCATTAGATTTTATTACCTAGAAGGTATTACACTTGAAACCATTGTTTGATCATGCTTTTTGACATCGAACAAAGTCAAAACTTATTGCGGTATAGTAAAATTCATATTTTTCATTTTTTTGACTTCGAGCTTTGAAATAACTTTTTACTGAATGCCCATTTCTTAGTCTACAAGAGCGACTCAAACAGACATATAATATATCAAATTTTTAGAACTTTTTAAAACTGAGAAAATTGCTTTTGAAAGTGACATAATCAAACAAGAACTTGACATAAAAACTATCATTTTGTAGAGTATATACGAATCTATGAACAAAGCTGATAGTGAGCTAGAAAATGGACTGGTTATGTGGTTTTTATTTTCAATTTATAATCTGAATCAAGAATGTGCGCAGAATCATTATTTTCAGATATTCGTCGCGTCGATATTATATAGAAACAAAAAATAAAAAGTATGTTTCTTTACACGTATAATAAAAATTCCTGTATATCGTCGCCTTCGTTTGTTTTTTGTCTTCCAGAAGAAGAAAAGATGGATTTTTAACATATTTTATTCAGTAATATAAAATAGTTAGACAATTATCGATATTCTTTGTATGTTTAATGTAATGATATGTGATACCGTTCCCGATTCTATCCCGCGAGACTTTTTATGGAACTGAGATCGAATTTTTTAAGAACAAAGTACCATAGTATGACTGAAAAGCTAATGTCCAGTGTCTTATACTACGGAATTTTATACTTTAGCGTAGGTAACAGCGACGCAAATTGCCATATTACAACGAAAATTTTGTTCCCTAGAGACGGAAAATACTTTTTCACAGGACTGTAGAACAAGCACTAAGAAAACTGGCTTCCCACATGTATTTTAAACTTATAGCATATATACTGATTGTTCTTTTTTATTTCTTGTGTCGATATGATAATATGATGCGAACGTTTACAAGAAAGAGAAAAAAAAGAAAGAAAAGAAAATAAGAAAAAGAGAATTGGAGAGAATAGAATAAAAAAAAAACTAATGTTGCTATGTATGAAAACTATTAGTTTTACTTTATTTGATTGTTATATTCTCAATATATATACATACACATATCCTATATCATCTCCTCTTTTCCATTTTATTGTGAACGATATACCTACATTAAGTATGTATCAATTCAAACGATATTGTTTTGTTAACTTAATTATTCGGTTTTAAAAGTTATTCATTCTTTAAAAATTGATTAATTTTGATTGAGTATACCCTAGTGAATGTATTCAAGCATGACTACTCAACTTAGTACTTAACTAGAGTAATACAATAAGTAGTGATAAAAACTCATATACAAAGTTTTTCGAGTTGTTTAGTACACATATATTAGAATAGACTGACATTTTTGGTTATTATTTAGTTGAAGAGCCAATTTTTGAGTAATTGTGGTCAGTATTTTTAAGTACTCATATTATCCAATCTTATATACAGGAAAAAGAAAAAGAGTTATTGATAAGGTGTGAGAAAAATATAAACATTTCTTGCAAATATGGAGATTCTTATATAATTAATATTCCGATAGGCAAAACAAAACAATGATGGAAAAAAGTGATTAATAGTTAATTTAATTTATGAGGTCTAAGAATTTAATTGATGAGTACATATACACCAGGACAAGTATTATAAATTAGGATAAATAATGATCCATTAGATATTTATAGAGAAGTTTAGCTTACGACGTGGGTTTTTTCTAAGAAAAAGAAATCAGTTATCTGTCTGATTACATTGAGAAAATAAAAGAGAAACAATGAATTGGTCATTTGAGGATAATTGATTTGTTAGTGTTGTGTTTTCTTTCTTGTATATGGATTCTAAAAGCATTGGTGTATATGTAGTTGAAAATGACATTTTATAACATAAAACGGAACTTCTTAATGTCAAAAAAAAAAGAAAATCTAATTGTCCTTGGACGCGTATAATAATATATGAAGAAAAAAAAAAAAAAAACAGCTTTTTATTGGCATCATATATTACACTTTTCGTTTGAACGATAGATGTTTCCGGGTAAACATAACACTTCGAGTCATAATGCTAGTTATTTGGTAAATAAAAAATAGCAAACTGTATTATTTGATTGATTAAACATATTTCGTTTACAACTAAATAAGTCGAACAGCTGCAATTAGTCATCTTTTTATATCAGATAACAATCTTGTTAAACCAATGATGTGAGATATTATAGACACTTGATCATTCACTGAACAGATGTATCTATATTAGACGATACGTTATCGTTTTTCATGAAATAAAAAGGACAAGATAAATTAATCCAAATCGATTAGACTTCCACTTGTTTCGATAAAATAAAATTCAATATGCAAAAAATAAATACTAATGCGCTAGCAACAAGTGTGCAGTATGCTAAAATTTCTAAAAGTACAATGAGTTAAGTTTTGAAAGTTTGAAACTGATTTTTACGTCTTTTCTTATTAGTTTGATATCGAATAAATCTTTATTTGATCCAGGGGTGTCTAGACGTTTGAGAGACAATGCCCCAAACAAAAGTAGGTGAGACACTTTTTTGCTGTAAAAATTTATTGTCCAGGTGGTACACTGAAGACTCGAACCTCTGAAATGGTACAAAAGACTTCAAACGCTTAGGTGAGGGTAGACACCGGTGATTTGATCCACAGTAATAGGTCGTTTCAATTAAACGATAAGTTTTTTTTTGGTAGAATTAAGAAGTACGGCGAAAAGTAGACCGCATTCTTTTTAATGTGAAGTTTATTCGTTTCAAATATAAGAGAAAAAGTACATTGTCGTATTCTAAAACTTGAACTATCACAAAATATCAAATAGATTTTATTGGAAGAGAGACTCGAATATATAAACACAGTTTGTAAGGTAATCATGCATTCGTTTATCAATCTAACACTTTTTTCCATAACTATATTTTTCTCGAAAAAAATGAGACGAGTTGTTTGACTCTACAATGACGTAATTTATCCTTTTTGAAAGAAACTAAAGTGCGGTTGGACAATGAGTGAATGAAGAAGCATTTTGAACAAACATATGACTATGTTCGGAGTAATTATAAGTAGTTGTCTAGAGTGTTTACTCAACGTTGTTTGTAGTAAAGAAAGAATGATAGATAGATGTGTCTTTCTATGATTAGTTTAAGGTTATAGGCTTTTGTGTGTGTGTGTATAATCAACATTCTTATGTCAACGAAAATTATCATGAGAAAAAAAAATGAACGTATACATAGAGTATGAACAGGAAAGTGTGACAGATAATGCTGTCATCAGATGACGATGATGAACTAGATGATCCTCTTGCAAACGATAATGATCAGATGTTCTGATTTTCAAACTATATATTCTGATTTTTAGTATGTATATGTTCTATTTTTAACGGATAATAGAACCGATTATTAAGAAGTGTATCTATTTTCATCATCGTCATATATCGTCATATATATATATATATGCAGATACTGTAACCTTCAACTTTTTTCCTCTGATGTTTTTTATTCATGACATGGTACTATAGATTCACGTGGAATAATAAAGAGATAATAATAAACTCAACATCAACTTTACATCTGCTTTTGATTAGAATATAATATCTATAAATCTAGACAAATCGAATGTTGTTTACTTGAAAAACATAAAAACTTATTATTAATATTGTCACATAATTTATTAATAGAGAAAACATTGTTTTCGATGTAAATGTAAGACAATCAATGTTTATCTCAGGTAATAGAGATTACAAGTAGGGTCATAGTCAACAATATTCTTACGTTCGAATTATATATTTGTTTTTGACTGATTTATCAAAAGGTGATTAATTTTAATAATACTAAGATTGAATTGAAGATATAAAATATTAAAAGAGATCGTAAAAGATGTAAATACATCAAATAAATTTTGTTAATAGTAAAGGTTTTATTGAGAGTGCCATCATTTTTTGAACTAGAATATAGCTATCATCGACAATTAACATGCATAAAAATAAAGTAGAAACAAGTCATTAGGGTAGAGTGCACAACTGAGACGATAATGTTTATATCAAAAAAAAAAAAAAATTAATCATCTACAAACGACTGATGATCTATTATAATCGTTTTTTTTTTCAGACCTTGAAGATTAACCTTTTTTTTCATACTTTCCGTGATCTCTCATCGATTCTTAATACATTCTCATATAGAATAAGAAGAATTTTTCTTCTATCTTATGAACAATTTTATCTATTATATGTTATCTTTTCAGATTAATAAAACTTCTGTTATTCAGATGTTTATAAATCAAATAACAAAATGCAGTTAGCTCTCGCATTGTATAACAATGAACGTGATGAAGAAGATGAACTTGAGTTTCGAAAAGGTGAAATATTAAATGTATTAATTGAAAATCCAAATGGTCTGATGGGATGGATGCTTTGTGAAAAAAATGGACAATGTGGAATATGTCCTGGCAATCGTTTACGTTTATTATCAAGTATAACAACTCCAACAACTTCAACTACAATGAATAATAGTAGAAATAAAAATATTATTAGTTCAAAATCAATGTCATCAAGATCATCATCATCGTCTTCATCTCAAGTAAGTTGAATTACCTTTATATATATAATTAATAATCAAATCTTATTTCTAAAAACTTTAATTAGTCTTTAAAAATATGACGAACAAAACATTTTGTTTAACGACTTATGATTAAGTAGTACGTGCGTACAACTAAGATAGTTTTATGTTTATGTACGACATTATGTTATATAATCCTAATCATTTTTTTATTTTCTCTCTTATCGCTTTAAAATTTATTATTTAATGTGAGCGTATATGTATGTATGAAGAAAGAAAAAATTAGTATTCAATAAGGTCAAATGGATCATCGTTGTAAAAAATGGTCATGATTATTATTTATATTTACTTCTATTTTTTTTTTTTTTCGTTTGCCTAGGTATACGAATATGTAATACCATTAAATCAATATCGTTCAGAATACGATATGCCATCAATTCAATATGATTATGATATTCCTATATCAGCTCATGAAAATGATTATGATATTCCTCGAACTGCAACAATAACTGAAACAAAAAAAATTGAATCGGGTAAGACATTATGAATTGTATATTACATTATATCTATCTATTTATCTATAAATTAAATAATTTAGATTCTCCTACAACTCTTAATTCATCATCTGAATCATCATCACGTTCGTCTGGAATCTATTCAACATCCACAAGTAATCCAACTGATATATCAAAATGTTCATCACAATATTCATTGATTCAACGATCTAAATCATCAGACACATACATAACAGATAAAAGTAAGAATCCTAACAGAAGTATTCTAACATATGTTTAATTTTATACAATATTAGAAACAGATAAAGTAACTATTGTTGAAATTATTTGACATCAGGAATGTGTCTCAAATTTTTTTTGTCTAGTATGTCTGGTCTATAAGGATATATTTTCGTACGGCAGTTATCAGTTTATTGTTTAATAGTTAGAAACTCATCTCAATGCCATATTCATTTATAATGATAAATAAACAGTCTGACATCCACTTTTTCTGTATCATCAATTGAAATATCTATTTTATTTAGACCTTCAACACATTTTTTTCGTTCATATATATTTATCCTTTTGTTCATCATGATAATGATAATGTTTTTCTAAGACAAATAAGCACCATATGCTCTATTTCTCTTTTTAATAATAAAGTGCCTAGTCATTGTGTGAATAACTGCTGATCTTTATGTTTATTCTAAATTAAAAAGATATTTCATCAATATATCTGTATTTATGTCTGTCTGATGATGTTCGCTCTAAAATAACTAGATGTTTAATGATTAACATACAATACATACATAAAGAGAAAGATGTGAATAGTTGGATTAGTTTTCCGATTGTATAGACTTAAATCACTTTACATTGATCCTATCTTATGTATATCTAAATGTGATGACACACTTTATGTTAAAGAATAAAAAGTTCAGGAAATCCTTGATTATACATTGAAAACGTTTTTCTTTTTTAATGTCGAGACAAGATAGTTTTATTATTACAATAAAAAAAAATCATTATTAAAAATGATGTAACAGATTGATGTAACAATAAAGAAGAAAAGAAAACCCGAACAAATGAAACACATGTCTCATTATGTCTCAAGTAGATGATATCAGATGTATTAATGAGTTAGTTGATTTCGTTTTCTGTATATGCTTGTGTGGAAAAAGAACAGTGTTAACTTGATCACGTATAGTTATATATAAATATACATATGGAAATGCGTTGACTTTTACAATGATATATTATGTAATAAATAAACAATGGATATAAATTTGATGACATTTATATTTAAGTTTTCTGATATTTTCTTTTAGTTCCATTAGATGAATTTCCTGCTCAATTTCGTAAATTATCTATTCGTTCATTATTACCCGATAAATTTCGTGAATTACTTCTTGTTTGCGATGAATTATTACAGTCATCTTCAACAAAATTTGATCAATTTTCAAAATTAACCACTATATGTTTTGAATATTGTGAGAATGGTTATCAATTTTTATCTGAATATGGTTGTTTATTTGATCGTCACACATATAAACAATTTAAAGATATTCTCATAAAAATTGAACATTCTCTATCACAATTTCAACAAAATTTAAGAGAAAATAATAATGTTAATGATGAATTAATATCTCAAATAAAATATTTTTCAACATTATCTAAAGATATGTTCAATTTAATACGATCAACAATTGAATTAAAAATAAAACAAAAACACGATAGTATATCGACAATACCAATCGAAACATTAAAAAAATTAAATTTAAAACCCATTGCTACAAATTATGATGAGAATGGTGAAGATGATAATAAACAACTACAACTACAATCATCAGTGTCAATGAACAGTGTCTATGATACGATTGACAATAGTAAAACAGGTAAGACATAACTCAACTTTCTTTAGAGCTAGATGAATAGTGGAATTGTAAAACATCAGATAGAACCTATTTTTTTCTCTTATACAAATTTATTATCAAAATTCAAAATTAAAGGCATGTGAAAACCGTTTTCATAAATTACGTACATAGTGATTTTATTCTTGAAAATGAACTTTGTATAGTTCGAAACGTTGAAAATAATTTAGAAACTAAATAAAATACTTTAATGAAGTTAAAAAACGTTGCTGTTATCGTATCTTTTATTTTGAAATTATTGCCCATTAATCGGAATAATATCGAAATTAAGTGAATGATGAACATGGCAAAGCTCTAAAGTCATACAGAAATAGTAGAATATCGGATAGTGCTCTCTTTTCTTCGTACACATATCGATAAATGTTTCCCTCTCTCTCTCTCCCTCCCTCCGTTAGTAACAAATATAGTCTGTTTTATTATTCTTCTATTTCATTATTTATGACACACTGTAGTAATGCAACATTAACTTGAATTGAAACCTTCTGTTCTATTTGATTTCGATGAAATACTTAGAATTATTCACCCATTTATGACATATATCTCAAGAAGAATAAATGTTTTAATTACTTGTGATTTAATTTAAGATTCAAGTTCTATTGTTAATAGTACACGACCGTTACTAAATAATTCCAAAACATGTCATGTAAATTTATCAAACGAAAATTCTTATTATCCAATCACTTCAACTACTTCCTCTACTTCCACATCTCATGATAAAAAACGTTTAACAGACACGTATGACTATATTGAAGATGATTATTCGACTACAACTAGTGAAACTGATACACCATCACAATCATCAGATTTATTAAAATATTATTATCGTCATATTAATGAACAAATAGATTTAATGAAATTACGTTATGATAAATTAATCAAACGTACAAAACGTCGAGATGGTTTAGTTGATTCATCATACGATAATTGTTATTATTCGACGACGGTCATTGATCGTAGTAAACAATTGACATTAGATGAAGCAAAAAAATTTATCGTTGGAGGACATAAACTTGTTTTTGTTATTGAAACATTACAACAATATGCCGCAGGAAGTACAAATACAAATATTTTATCAATATTATTAACGGAATTATGCGATTCATTAGCAAACGTTGTCTTGTTTATTAAACAAATTGTGAATAGTAGTGATGGTGATAATAAACAACAAATAGTTAATGATGATTTTAAACAAAAAGCACAACAAGTTATGAATATAGTGACCAAAATTAAACAACATGTCAATAAAATGTGATACCTACTAAACAAAGACATATCTATCTGTCGATAAAACAAATTGTTCATAATAATGTAGTGATTAGAATAATGTAAACAAGTAATGAAAATTGAAATCAAATATTTATGGAGAATTAGTATTATATTATTTTCGAATTTGATGAAAGAAGTCACACTCTTTTCTAGATTAAACTTTCGATCAATCATTTTATTTATTCTTCTCTATATTCTAAGAATAAAAATCTCAATAATTATTTTTTGTTTTTTACTAGTCATTTTGAATGAGCCAACAAAAAATAATGTTATAAAATCAGGTTATATATGTTTTTTACTTATATTTCTTTTTGTTTCTAAATTTAATCAAACATGTTTTTCTTGTTTACAATGTAATGTTGTAGTTATATAAATCTATTGTTTTTATTTGTGTTGTGTATACTTTTGTTTTGGCGAAATGTTAAACGAGAATAAAATAAGAATAATTGATATTTTCAGTCTATGCTAATTCTATCATAAAATTACAACATATTTTAAAAGTGTTTTTTCAATCAGCAAAGTGTCATACAAATATCATCTTAGACTATCTATACAAGGACAGTTGATGACATTTTAATCACAACTTTGTACATAGAAATAGTTAGTTAATGATGCCAGTACCCAAAGGATGTATGATGAAGATCATGAAAATAGGATTATGATAAAATGTCGAACTAACTATAATAAATTAATAATCTTTTATCGAAAACAGAATTGAAGAATTAGATTTCAGCGAGAGAAAAAAGTCCCGAATGACAAAAATATTATTCATTTTTTTCTGATAAAAAAAGTGACTATTTTTGATTGATTTGTCCTTAGCACACGTTCATGATCTTTATACTATACAATATTAACAGAGTTTTTTTGGGAAGATATTATAATAACGGTATGGTTTTAAAGAATTTCTAAAAGTGAATTAAACATCTTTCATATTCTAATAGAATGATATCCGATTTACAAATACGAAATTTAAGACAAATCTTTATAATTCTCTGACGATTGTTAATTAATACTCTCACTCAATTTCTTCTCGAATACGATGCAATTTATCTATCTTAAATTTTGAATAAAACTTTATCTTGGAACATGGAAATTATACAATTATTTTTGAAGAAAATTTAGTAAATTAAAGAGAATCGTTTCAGGAATTAAAATTAGCTTTGTTAAAATTTTTTGCCTGTCTCATCTAACAAAACATATTACTCATTATCTAAAACTTTATGAATAACAATTTTTTTCAAACAAAAAGACAAGAAAGTCAACTATCAGCATTTCTGAAAAATATATACAAGTGAAATTTCAAAACGAAACATGAGCAAATATAAAAAACATTTCATAATTATGGTCTACTATTTCTATCACATTCTAATTGACATTCACGTACAAGTACACGTGCAGATGCAATAGCTCGTCGTAAACGTTCTGCTGAATTTTTATTTCCCGCATATGTTGGTTTGATATCTTTGCCCATTTCTTCAATAACATTTAATAATTGAGCATATTTACTTTTAGATAAAACACGATTTGTCGTTGGTGTAGAATATTGTTGTTGTTTTGGTGGTGGTGGAGGAGGTGGAGGAGGAGCTAATGGTTGACCAATTCCAATTGCAACTGTTGGAGAATTTCTACCAGCAGCCATAGGATTTAATATTGGACGAACTTGTGGTGTAGGTTGATTTTGTTGTTTTTGATTACGCATACTCAAATCCATTGTTAAATCCATTGTTTCCATTTGATCCATATGTATTTTTAAACAACAACAATATCTATAGTAAAATGATTGATTTAATAGCTAATAAACAGCATAATTAATATAATATTTGCTCAATGCACTAGTTAGCCATTATAGTTAATAGACAAGAAATAAGCATGAAAGATCACTTGAAAAAACCAAACTTATTGAAAATAGTCGTTCGTGCTAAAATATTGACTAATTTTGGACAAATCTATTTTCAAGACTATTTATTACATGTTTTTTAAGTTTTATTTTATTTAACAAACGTCAATTCTTTTTAAATTGTGCAAAGTCTAATCACAACAGATAATGTATCAAAAGACGAAAGAGATCAATTTTATTGTAAATGAGATAAATAAAGTATAAACTATTGCAAAAACCAAAAGTACATACACATTTGTATTTGATAAATAAAAAAAAAGAGAAGAGAACAGTTTGAAAAATGGATACATTTTTTCAATAAAAAAATATTGTACTTAAAAAAACATTTGTAAAAAATATTCGAACATTTTTAGAACGTTCTGAATGTGTCTATAGTTCATGAATAATATTTTTACTTATTGGTAATATATTTTGTCAAATCATTAATGCCGTGGTGGAGGCAATCGACTTGGCTTTGTCAAAGGTTGTTCTGATATCGTGATAAGACTACCTTCTAATTCTAACATTTGTAATTGACATTGTAAATTTAATAGAGATTCCATGTCTTCTTTAGCATAGAAACTTTCCATCTAAAATAAAAAATTAAAAAGGATCAATAAAATTGGTAGATTAATTGATTTTATGAGATGAATGTTCGATTTATTGTCATCATTTAGTTAATTATTGTTTACACTATCTCGACTACTGGATAAAGATTAAATGTACTGTACATACCTGTCTGTTTAATAAAATATTAAATCCATCACTCCAACAGTACATATCGTAATCATTTTCAGCATATAATGTGTAATTAAGATCATTATGAATAGATATGGCTATTGTAACATGAGAATTACTCTAGGAAAATACATAGTAATAAATAAAACAATTTTCATCTATGCAAATACTTACATGTCTATTGATTTTTGGTGTTCGATCATGTACGTTACTTCGATCCACATTACATTGTACATCTTTGATATTTTCAATTAAAACTAGAAAAATTCAATTAAAGAATAAAAAAAATAAAGACTAATAGAAAATAAATGTCTTACTCATTGTTTTCATGAGAGTAGCATTAATTGTATTATTACTATCACGTGAATCTTTTGTTAATGTTCCTCCTACTTCACTACATTGAACACCCTTTTCATTTTCAAACAATTGCCAATGCATTAAACGATCTAAACCGAAGAAAAACAAATGATTGTTAAATTTTTTTCATTCATTTTTCTCAATAATCTATAGTTACTTTTTATTTTTTTCACTCCCGTTCGATTTTCATACGTCATGAAGATTTGTCCTTTTTTCATTGTTCTTAACCGCGCTTGACGCGTTAATGATTCAACATGTGGTCGTAAATGTTCTTTCAAAGTTCTTCAAGTAATAAATATTAAATGAATAGTAAAATTATAATAATACGAATAATAATAAACAACTTCTTACTCGACAACAGGCAATTTCATCACGCCCTTTTCACGTTCTAATTCACTTTCATCAGAAATTTTTGATATTTCTTTATAGTTATAAAAGTTTAAACGATCACAAAAATACTCAAATGTAAAACGTCGAGTGATCGGTGATACTGCGGATGTTAAAATGTGCATTGTTGACGATACTGGAGACAGTGGCGTTAAGACCATTGATGGAGAATAAGATGGTAATACTTTTTTGATAGCGGTATTTTTCAGATCATTTGTATTGAGTGTAACATCTGATAAACTGTTGAATATTTGCTCTTTTATAACAGGGACAACCTCAAAAAAACAAATGAAAACGACAGACAAAACGGCTTGTATTACAATAAAGTCTTCAAATCAACGTTTGACTTCTAGATCATAGTGTCTTGACAGTATACTTACTATATCGAAATCTGATTGTTTCGCTCTCATTTCTTTCCATGTTTTATTAAATAATGATGTACATCTAACAAAACATTGTTCAAAAAATGATGGTATTGTATAGAATAAAAGAAAATAATGTTCGATTTGTTGATCTTCGGCAGCTAATTAAAACAAAAATAGTAAAGACTAGAAGAAGAAAAAAAAAATGAATACAGATACATACGATCAATGCCAATACGAAATAGTTCACATAGAATTTTTGTTACAACAATTGCCGAACGAATTAATGGACATTGATTTTCAATTGTTTTACAAGAATTTTCTAGAACAAACTAGAGAGCGAAAAAGGAAATTAAATACGGCGAAAATATACTCATGAAAAACTTACTCGAATAAAATCGTTTTTTTCATTAGTGCAAAAATAATTGAGATTCTCTAATGATAATACACCAGGTGGAACAAGTTGGAAATCTTTAATAGGTTCTTTTGTATCCTGTAGATGAAAGATACAGGGAAAAAAATCGATAAAATGTGATAAGAAGAAAAAAGATTCTACCTGAAAACCTAATCTTTCATAATTTCGTTGAAGAGCTTCAGAACGTCGAACAGTATCGGTATTGTTGACATTGTTATTCAGATCATGCTGATGATTTGGACTAGTAATGAAGTGAGCTGCTACTGAGTTACTATCATATGCACACTTTCGAATTTCATTAATCATTTCAATAGATTTCTGAAATAAAATCAAAAAATGTATTCTAATTAGCATGTACCTAAAGATTTATTGTACATCAAATCAATCTCTTAACATCCCATTGTTTCTAACAGATTATCTCTTACTGCATCATGTCGATTTGCCGATTTTGTCATGGAGTTTGAATATGTTTCATTCAAATAGTAACGTTGTAATCGACACAGTTGTTGTGATAAGGTTCGACTAAGATCTAATGATGGTAAAGATACTCTCTAAAGGAGAACAATGCACAGGCAATAAATATAACAGTATGAGAACAAATCTTTCCGACATTCTCTTCGTTTTGGTTTGTATGTTTAGTATGAGCGACACTTTACTTCTTACTAGAAAGAAGTAATGTGTTACCTACAGCTTTATCCAAATAGAATCAAGGCCGCTATGGCTGTGTGGTTAAGTTGTTTGGCACGTACCCTCAAGGTACTGTGTTCGAGCCTCGGCGCCACCAGACATGGAATAACCCTGGGCAAATCATTAACGGTTGTTTGCTTCGGATCACCCGTCCGACAGCATGCTGACTACATTGTGACATACACCGGGCCTCATAGCTAGTATGTGGTTAGTTAGTGTGTACGGGAGCTCAAGCAATCGAGTAAAAGAATTCTGAGTCAGACTGGCCTTCTATCCAGAGCTACAGTTAGTATTAGTTGTAGGGAAGATATCGGGTTTACGAAACTGTCTCCGGACAGCACCCTATACCGCAAGGTAGCCGAAAGGCGGGATATTCTTCCTCCTTCCTTCCAAATAGAATCAAATTTCCGGTACTAACTACTTACTTTAACCGAGTGAACCATTAATTCAATTCCTACAGAGATTTCTTCATTGTTTGTGTTCTAAAATGATAGAGTGCATAATAAAAAGGCATATTACCCATGTAACTGCTGTCTTACACAACTGATAATCGCTTGGACTAATTCCTTAAAACAACTACATAGTGTTGAATCTGACATGAGTTTAACAACCGACTAAAATAAACAATAAAAAATAGATAATTGATCAAAATTGCAGAAATAAAGCTTACAGTGCGAATAGCCTGATCTCCTTTTGACATGAGTAAATTGATCAAACTTAGTGCATAATATTGCGTTTCACTATCATACAGTCTAAATGGCGAAAACGTAGTGTAATTCCAGAACATGTCATCTGTAACTTAGACAAAAAAAAAAACATACTTTCCACAATATTCAAACAATGATTTTGCTCGAATTTCTTGGAGTACACGTTGAGAATGACGAGAACTTAACATTGAAATAAAAAAAATATATCATATAAAAAACAGCTTCTTTCCTTATACTCTTACCCACTAGTAAGAATCGAATGTAATATCATCATTGTTGGACAAATCACAGACGAATGCAAATAAACTGGTCCATTTATTAACGGAATTAGCTAAAAAAGAATAAGGATCTTAAATAAAGAAATGTCTACTGCACAAGAATTAGACAATAAAATCTGTCTAACTAGAATATAAATTATGTACTTTGTCCAAAATATTTTGTACATAATCAAATTTATCCCAATTAACTACATGTTGATTTGTCATTATCTGATAGATTGATCGTAGTAAATTAGGTGTATAAACAAAAAATTCATCACTAAATAACAATAAAACAATGGGTGAGAAATTATCTAGATCAATTAATAATTGATGTGTAAACCTGTTATTTTTTTCATTCATCAGTTGTATCAATAAATTTAATCCATTTCGTTCAACTAAAAAATAAAAAAAAAGATAATCACTGATGGAGAGCGGGACTTATGTGTGATTTATTTATAATGCTGCTAATCTGATATGTTTCAGCCATATACGAAATTTGTCTTTTTCGAAATATCAGATACATAAAATTTTATTTCACAAATGATAAATCCTCCGAAAAGTATCTTTTCACTTCATTATTATTTCAAGTTACCGTTAGAAAAGAACCATACGTAGGCTAGAACTAAGAAGCTAGAACTACAGAGATTAAAGAGAACTTACTAAAGTCAATGGCAAATGTTTCATCGACAGATGCTAATTTTAAACGATCAATGGCTTTCGAACGCTGGTTTTGATCTGAGGAAATTAATAATTTTATGATGTCTTGAGCTTCGTAAGTCTAAAAGTGAATATGTGCATTTTTATTTAAAACATCTTACATAAAACACATTTAGGAAAATCATTCACAGGTTTGTCCGAAATCACGGGCTGTTCAGGAATTCATCACAGTAAGACGTAAAGAAGAAGATCAATACAATCTACTGTTTGTCTGTCGTCTTTTCCAAATAAGAAGGCTGAATAAGAACTGATACTTTTATCAAATATTTACCTATCGAATAATCAAACCGCCAATCTCACATGTTTGTCTTTGATGAACAGCAGACGCTACGTTTTGGCTATACTTACATAAGAATACGACAGATAAAAAACTTGTCCAGTTGGTATAAGATGTCGATTCTAGAAAGAGAATGTTTTGTAATCGAATAAAATCAAAATCAGCTGGTTCAATCTACTTCTTCTGTAACAAATTTATGTGTATCATCGAATCTTAACGAATAATGATCTGGTTCATCAACAGCCCATCTAAAATAAAAACTATATCATTCACAGTTCTATTAACCTCTCTACACTATACATACTCTGCACAAATATTGCTGATATATGTACTTAATGGAATACTCTTAAAATGAAAATAAGATGAAAAAAATGTTGTTGTTTTTTGTGCCAAAACGGCGCTTACGTGATCGAGTTCGATCAGTTTTGGTAATCTGGGACTGTTTGAATATTTTCCATGCAAATCTTTCCAATGCACACCAATTTTTATTTTCGAGTTATTGTTCTTTGCCAAAGATAGTGAAGTAGCCATATATATCTTAAAAAAAGGATAAAATATCACGAAACACATCACTATGTATCTTATAACGAAGTTTCTATACGCGTACGTATATACGCAGTGAATAGCTAGGTCATCGATCAAGGGTTTGGAAAACTTATCAAGCCCATCATGTTTTTATTTGTTTTGAGAAACCAACCAAAGTTTAACATCACAGCCTCTGTTAATTTTCTGCATGAAGTGTACATTCCATTCTTCAAAGTATCGCATTCTTTGTTCCACGTCATGAACGCTTTGTCATTAGAAGCACTGAGCAGCATAGCCTAAATCAGGTCTTGTTCGGCGACGAAAACCACAAAGCAGAATGTAGACCTCAATCTCACTAATTGATCACTTATCCCCTTTAGTACATGCTACTATCACTATTTTATTACCTATATAAAGAAAAGAGGGGCGGGGTTATCATTCGTTCAGTTTTTGATCGAACTGACTACATATTTCAGAGAGGGCGTCACTGTATCCAAGAAACTTCGGTGATTGGGTAATTTCTCAAGCTTAAATTTGGAAATTTTTCGAAAGCATGAAAAAAAAGTACACAAAGTAGTAAACACTCATTCTTGATCATGACTATAGACATGGGTAAGACGAGGATGTTTTAGGCTTGATAGCAAACTCTGGTTTCCAAACTTTGGAAGCTACACAAATCCAACAGTAGGTTAGAACACTACCATTGCACAGGATCAAATGTTGTAGGAGTTGTTTTACTTCCTTACTATTCTGTCAAATCGTTCTCCTATCTCCTTTGTCAATTTGGAACAAAGAATTAGACATATAGAAATAAAACTCGTGTAAATATTGTAAAAAAGGAGAAACTTGGTTCTTGAGAACCAGTTTTCCAGTGCGGTGACATTCTAGCTTGTGAAGACAGATAAATTAAAGAAATTTCTCTTATGAACAAAACGATTATCGAAAAATCTTAAAAGATTTACTCGAGAGTCCTGATAGAATCCTGCGGGACTCCCGAAAAATCCCTTGAGAGTCACGTTCACGCAAAAACTCCGAAATTTTTTAGAATCTTTCGAGAGTCCCGCTGAAAATGGGCTAGGTATATTCACCTTGTTATTTTGCTGAGACATATGAGAGCCATTGATTTTGACAACAAATTTCATCACATAAGTAATTCATTACTAAAAGATCAGCTTGTAATAGCCTTGACTGAGAACGTACTGTTTTTGTTTTTTAAGTCGTGAAATATCTCGATTTTTTTCCTATCTCCCGATCAGTTCTTTAACACAACCGATCAGAACTGATCGGTCCCGTTGCCTCACCGCTAGCCTCAACTTGCACCTAAACAAACATCTGAAACACCAAAATACTTGGCTAAAATATGTGAAATAAGCAAAAAAGTGTTGCTAACGTTAAAAATTCTCACGAGAGTTTTCAAGATTTTCCGGGATTGTTGACTAGAGCAAACAAGTTCATGATTCCCTGTAGATTGTAATGAAGAATAATTATTAAAATGAGCTTAAAAAACTCACTGAGGCTGCTTCATTTCCTCTTTTTATGTTAAGCAAACTTTACGCAAGATTGTCGCGAAAAATGATTATAACCCTTACTTCTTTACCAGGGATCGTATTACAAAAAAACCTAACTCAAGACTTAAGCCTTAGATGAACTTAAGTTTAAGCCTGACTTAAGTTCGAAGGCTTAAACCATATTACTCACAAAACTTAAGCCTGTCTTAAACTTCAGTCCAAACTTTGACTTAAGTCAGTCTTTTTTTGTAAGTTTTTGTAAGTAAAGTTTTTTTTGTAATACGACATTCAGAAGTGTAAGTGAGAATATTCGCTATTAAGGAGCAAGATTTGATGAAGACTTAAAATCAGTTAAAACCAGGGAGTCGTATCACGAAAAAACTTAAGTCACAGACTTAACTAAGTCTAGACTTAAGTCAGGCTTAAATGTATAAAATTACCACGTAAGTCAAGGGAGAAACAGCTGAATTTGATACGTTTTTGAATTTACTTGAATTTAACTGAATTTATTTGATTTAAGTGATTTCAACTGAATTTAAGTGAATTTTGATTGTGGTAATTCGGAAAATAAATGGGGCAATATTTGTTTTTCGAAACGGTTTCAAAAATCTAGTGGAACAATCTAGTGGAATTAGGGGAAATAATCCGTTTTTGCCTATTTTTGAATAATATTAAAAAATTCATAACTCAGTCAAGATCTATCCAAATTATGCCAGAATACCAAGACGTACTCTGTTTTACCTGCTTAATACTCTGCAGCTCAATAAAAGCTTTAAAAACCAACAGAAAATACTTTGGTTTTTGAAAAGATTTTCTAGAAATCTTCCGAAGTACAAAAAGCTTTTTTACTATTTGCAAGTAAAAAATTGTATTGAGCAGGTAAAATAGAGTACATCTTGGTATTCTGGCATAACTTGGATGGATCTTGACTGGATTATGAATCTTTTAATATTACTCAAAAATAGGCAAAAATGGCTATAGGCTTTCACCAGGTTTTTCGAACTGTTTTGAAAAACAAATATTGCCACGATATTCAGCGTGGTCGATCACCTATGTTTGCATTTATTTTCGGAATTAGCATACCTAAAGAAATATTGATCCTAGGGCTCTTAGGAAATCCGATGCCACGCATGAACTAGGGCAAATTAAGAGTTAGCTTAGTTCCCATTTTCGAGACGACACTTTGGACTATCTATCTATAAAAGCAAACTGATAGATTTTTATCTCATTTTCCGAAGATCCGAAGTGGTTTTCCAAAGATATCCTAGATAACCGGTCTTTCTAACGGCTTCGCAAAAGAGTTTCGTTTACGAAAACATAGGCTAAACTGTCTTCTTTCGATTGTTGAAAACTACAAGTCTCTATCTTTTATCGTTTTGGAGTTATTCGTGGAGTCGATAGTAGAAAGGAAAGAGAAATCTAAACGCTACTACACGAATGTTCTTCACAGTATTGACTGTTTAATACCCACACCGTTACCATGGTAGATTTCGGAGGTTAACTAGCATCTCTCTCTGACTCCCGTTCAATTTAAGTAAAGTTTCCTTGACTTTTTTTAGGAATTTACGCGAATATGGATGAATTTACGTGAATTTTAGTGAATTCAGGTGAATTTTGAATTTACTTGAATTTAACGGACTAAGTTCAACTGTTTTCCCCCTTGACGTAAGTGCACGTAACGAAGACTTAAGTCCAAATTTTGACTTAAGTTTTTTTGTGATACGACCCCCAGCCGTTCAGCAAAAATGTTCTGCACAGTTTGTCAGTTCGTATCCTTCACTGATAGTATGAAGAAATAGAAAATACATAATTCAATAGAGCTAAAGAGTTTATTTTAATTCGCTAGTCTACAAGAATTATAATGAATATTTGTACTCATGCTAAACAATATTTTTATTTGTAACAAGTAGAGTTTTTATTAAGAAAAGTGTAACCAATAACATTACTCTTTTGTTTTCTGTATATCTTTGATAATGATTTTTAAATAAATCGAAACATTGAAAATTGAAAATGATTCAAACCGTTGATTTGGTTATAAATTACTTACTTTTCTTACTAACTAAAAAGTATTAGCACTTCATCCTTTCTTACCGACTATATGGCTCTTCTTAGATTTCAAAATTCTTGTATCGATTAGACCAGAGGTGGAGTGAATCAGTATGATGTGTTTACTTGTGTTTATTTGTCAACGGAGACTAAAACTATGAGTAATAATTGTTTGTCTGTTTACAACCGTTGTTTACAAAAATACATGTAAAGATCGATTTTTAAGATAGTTATTATCATTATTATTTACATTAAAAGCATATGACTGACTGATAACTGTATATAAAAAACAATGGATGAATGAAACGAGCAAAACATGCAGTTTTTAAGGCAGATTTGACTGAAATCCTGCAGTACTCCTTGCTTATCGAGTCTCGCATATGATGAGAAACTTCGTATGTTTTATCGACAGCTTTTAAAGATCTTTCAATAATTGTTTTCTTAGGTATTTATATGTTATTTATTGACAGGCATCTGTTTTTCAAGAATCATCGAGATGAATCGATGTTTTACATCGACTATGACAAAGTTCATTATATTATAGAAAACGCCATTTCGACCATATTTATGATGTTTATAAGAACTACCTTTTCTTTTGGAGTCCAGCGGAGTATGGGTCTATTTTTTTGTCTTCAAATCGTAGTTCTTAAATTTTCGAAAGTACATTGATACCGAATAGTTTGAAGTATCCAAATCTCATATTATATATAAATTAATGCATGAAAAAAACGATTTTATAAACAAAATAGCAACTAGCAGGTGATGCAGCCAGAATCAGTCACCAACCAAGACTGTTTATTCACGAAAGTGAGATATCACTTAAGAATATTGCTTATAAGTTTCAATCCTCGCGTCTCTCAAGCCTAAATTTTCCCAAACGATGCCTTAAAAGTCTCGAAAAAACACGTAATAAATGATTAATTACATAACGCAAAATTGGAAAATTCCTGAAAAATACGCAGGAACTGTGTAAAAAGTCAATTTTCTAAAGTTTTTCAGCGAACCCAAATTTCTTTTTAAAATAGGAATACAAGAATTAGCTGCATCACTTAGATATAATCTACATGTTGTTCATACTCAAAAAATGAAAACCATAAGGGGCTTGATTTTAGAAGGGTTATAAGTGTTTTATGGAAACTGCTATCAGGAGCCACTTTTATAAAAAAACTTAAGTCAAAAATCGAACTTAAGTCATAAAAGACAAAGAACTTTTTGGACTTAAGTTTGACTTAAGTTTTTTTTATAAAACTGACCCCATACTATATTGATTTTTAATAAAAACCGTAACACAAAAAAAAGTTTTCATCCAGTATATTTGTACTTCAAAAGAATTCAAATAATAGGCAGAAGATAGTTTTTCATGACTACAAAGTAGTTAGTGAGATTTTTTTATATATCAGTCAGCAAAGAAAAGAGACTAGATAAGTCGTTGTATTTTTATTAATAACTCATCTATAAGTATGACAGTATTTCTCGTATGACTTTTTACTTTTGCATTTGTAATCAAACGCTCAGTATGTTATTTCTCGAGTATTTCAAGCCGCATCTTTTAAAAAAGTTCATGTTTGGGGGTAAAGAGGGGGTTGAAATTAATATCTTTTTGTTTTATCCATGTTGCCAATGTGATTTTAAGGAAAAATCTTGAAAGATTACATTAAAACCTAAGCAAAATCAAATTCTTGGGTATCGTAGCATAATGGACAAAAATATGCCTCAGTTCTATCTAATTCGGTCGAAATATAAACAGTAAATGTTTTTTTGATCGAATTGCACGTTTTAAATGGTACTGAACTCTAATGGTCATAAAACGTCGATGGACGCAATATAAAATTAGCATATTTTTACATCATTTAATGATTTTTGAGCAAAACTTGGATAATTTTCCATATCGTTTGGTTTAGCAGATTCGAAACTAAGTTCAACTGGTGTACTGAAGCTTGCGTTTTTATGAAATGGACTACCGAATGTTTTCAATTGTGAAACACCCTGAAAAACAGAGAACACACGTTGGCTAAGGCATGAAAAAAAATATTACATACCGGTGCTGTTCGGCGATGTTCTGTCCAAAAAGACACTGGCATTTCTTGATAAAGATCATGTGGCTAAAACAAAGGAAGAGTTTTTAAATAAAATAAATTAAGATATTGACGTCTTAAAGAGAGAAGGTTGGATACACGTTCTCTTTCATCTAATTCTTCGTTCTTTTATTAATTGGAAAAGCTACCTGTGTGGTTGGTGGACATTTAGATTCGAATTCACGATGAAATTGTTCTCTATATTCACTATTTATTTTATTGCGTTCTTCTGTCTGAAGTCTTTCCTTTTCCTGTTGTCTTGCATTTAATTCCCGAACAACTTCCCGCGTGATTTTACTTTCCATTAAACGACTACGTGCTCCTAAAATATCATTTACTATTCCAGTATAACTTCATAAATCATCGCTATAATCAAATACCTTGATCTTTTTTCTCAAATGGTCCAAATTTATTATAATATTCTCTATAGGTTGTTTCATTATCCATTGCCGAGCTAAAATCTTGCGTTAACAAGCCAATATGACTGTCTTTTTTACCTCGTGCCGGTTTATTAGTACTAACGTTCGTCTGGTAAACTGGCTCATGATCTAAATGTGTCGTGGCTCGTTCTTCAACCCAGTTTTCAATTAACACGTTTCCATTTGCATTAGGTATACGTCTAGCACGTTGAATATTTGCCATGATTCAAGTTTTTCTCAAATGCCTAAATGAGCCAAACAAATAACACTCTGTTCAGACAAAATACTATTCAGCCATTAATGTCGAACTGTTCGGCTCGTTACACAGAAACGACTTTACCAGATCAACTCTGGCTCTCTCGGGTAAATAGTTATTATTTTATAAATCGATGACTAGTTTTTTTAAAACTCAACTTTTCATGATGCTACCTTCCACATAATCATGCCCATTTTATAACGACCTCTATGGTTCTAATTCTGACATTTGACTTAATCGGGACAAATACACTTATTACACCCCCCTCATATATCGACTATTTCAGTTTAAAAAGAGACAGTCCCGCGAATTTCTTGTAGTACACATTAGGGTATGTTTGGCAGTAGGTGGTGGGC